ACCAGTGAAAGGTGGTGTGACTCTGTGAAATCCTAAATGCTGAAAGTCCAAAAAAAGTAAAAGCAAGATTACTTAAAGGAATAACTGTGAAGTGATGTATGCACGGACCAAGTGCAACTAAAAGCTGGTGCACGTGTACCAAACACAGATAAAAGTATTACACTTTTCTTACATTACACTTCCATTTCTGCCTCTAGGGAGCGGCAAAGGACCTGTTGAAAGAATACATGTTTCGAGCTTCTTCCAGCTTCTCATGCATTTTGTTGCTCCTAACCTGAGTTTAAGAGGAGCACATGACCTTGAAAAGTTTTTTTTTTTTTTGTTCCTAATGTTTTCTTCCTTTGGCAGCCTCAGGTTTGGCCCTGGCTTCTCTTTTCTGGTTGGCTCACAGTGAACCTGAATTCCTAATCTCCTTCTTCCACATACTTGTCATGGACCACAAGATTCCTCTAGAGCTTGTGTCTGCAGGATCCAGGGGTTCGGTTCTTGAAGTGCTTTTAGTGTCTTCTTTAAAACAAAAAAACAATCCAGCTTCCCATTGAGTTAAGTTAAAACTGAATTAATTTATGAGTAAAGTAATATTTGTACATTGTGTCCATAAGTTGTGTTTGAAATCCTAAGGGGGTCTTGCGATATTATGGCAAATTGAAACCAGTAAAAACAGCATGCCTACAGCTATTGGGTTAGCATTATTCTTTATTAAAAGCTGCTCTCTGTCTGCGTGGAAGAGGAAGGATGGTACCTGCAGTGCTTCAGTCAGAGGACTGTGTATGCCTTACACCATTTTGCATTGTGGTTTTGGCGTTGGTTACCATTCCCTATTTTTTGGTCACAGCATGAATACTACTTTTAACTGTATATCTTTTTTTTTTTTTTTTTCCAGAATTATTTTGAGCTACCGGGTGTTCACAATATCTAAGAAAGGCCAAGCGGGTGGACGAGTAGAGTTGTATGTAAACCGTTTGTACAAAGGCTTTTTGGACAGACCTCGCTTTTTTTGCTCAGATGTTTTAAGTTATCAATTTTCAATAATAAATGCACTTTTTTTTCAACATTGGCTGTGGAGGTGGTTTTTTTTTTTTTTGGAGGGGGGGGATTCCCCACACAGAACAGCTGAGCATTATTTTTCTGCAACATTGACATCATAACTAAAAGTGCAAATTGTTAAATAAAAGCTGCTCTTACAGGAATATTTATTTAGATTTGTATAACTAATTTAGCAAATATTGCTAAATTGTACAAGATCATATGCAGCATTGACTGTTTCCAACACAGCTACACCTGCTTCTTCACTCAGTCAGAAACAGCTACTCGAGTATGATCCATTCATGTATCAGTTCCATAGGAAATACAGTAAAAACAGTTTGGTGAGAAATCATACCAGCTCTTTCTCTGCCACCAGAGGGCAACAGTGCAGCATTAACAAATACAATAAGGGTTTCATAACTCACCCTCTGCCCACTGCACTTATTCAACCTCAACTTTTATTATGAAAATATAAAGAGATCTCTGAGTGGATTACACTTTCACAGCCAGCCATGTGAAATTCAATATTCCACAAAAAAAGAAAAAGGACAATAGGAGTAAGTAGACAGAAATAATGGCACGCAGCTGATGAATCCGGGTGCTGAATGCTCCGTGTTCTTCCATCAGAGGTCATCGTGAAGAAAGCATCATAACAAACTCTGCAGGGGGAGACAGACAGCAGCAGATCCACTGATAAGGACTAATGACAATAATATCACAAAAAGTCATGCCGTTCTCAGCCCGTATGACACTGTAATCACAAAACGTTTATGTGCTCGCCAGGTTTATGAAACACTGAAGTGTTTACAGGATAGTACGCTTTGGTACTTTGAATTTTAACTGCTTTAAACCCACTTTAGAGTTATGACTACTTCTTTAGCTGACCTTATTGATTCATCTGGATTAGCTTGTCAATGAAGACTGCTATTGACGTTTCCTGTTAATGAAACCCAGCTGCAGATTGCAGATCGATCACATCTTCCATGTTTCCATTGTCCCTCCGAAGTGTTTTCAAACAATTATTATTGGCGTGAAACTACTGATCACTGGGTAGGAAAGCATAATTCCACATTAACCTAGTAACACTGTTTTTTTTACTAGTAACAGCAGCTCTGTTGTAGTCAATCAGATCTCCAGTTTGAGCCTAAACACGATCATTTTCCACTGTCCTCATGGGTGCCGTGGATCTCTGTGGGCCATGTGCCTGGTAGTAATACTGCACATGTGTCAGGACTGGATAGATACACTCAATATGCTGCCCTTGGGGCTAATTGATGATAATGAGGAGCACCTGCTTATTGATCCACAGAGTGACACACCTGTTCATATGTCCCCAATCATAATTGATTGGAGTCCTGAGACGAGGCAAACAGGATCACAGCTTGCTTTAAGCCTGTGATGTGCCGCATACTAATCTCACTCACACAAACGTCGTATTGATAGTGTTGCACGTGCTCACACGTGGACATGTTTATATGTGTGTGTTAGTTAATTGTTTATCTGAGTGCAGCATAATGTGATTTCTGCTGAGTCCTTGAGCTGCCCAGCAGTGTCTGCTCTTTGCATGTGGCATGTGACAGGTGTCCAGGCATGTGTATTGATCGGCTTAATGCAGCTCTGATTACATTGGATCGCTCCAGCCAGCTCACCTTGACTTAACCAGCCCTCCTGTCCTGTGTCTCATCCTTTTGTACCCCATTTCTCACAATTTTTTTCTTCTTCTGTCCCTTTCAAATTTGACCCATTCCAACTAGGTTCACCATGTCCTTCCTTACCACTGGTGGTCTATAACCTTCTTGTCACAGGTTTGACAGCATTCCCTCCATATATCAATTACATCATTACATCAGGTCTGGTGAAAACTTTACATATTTCATAAGTCTTGGGTGGTGCAAAAATGGCTTCATGGCACCACCTATAAAATTTAAATGAAGTTCTTCCTCTCACATAGTCACATAGTTTGAGCTTCATGGATAAAATCTGGGACACATGTGTAACATCCCTTTACAAAATGTTCTTGGGGTATTCAGTAACTTGTAGCTATACGCTGCGACCCGAACCCAGAATTACATTACAGTTATACACGCTATACTTCAACAAACTCCTTCCAAAGATTTAATTGGATTAACCTCATATTTTTGAGTCCTTGGCCACGCTAAATTGCAAAGCTTTCCAGTTTTTCTTAAACAGTGACTCTGTGCTGCCATGGTGAATTTCAATCAACTTTGCCATGGCACTTTAATTTGCTGTAATTAACACGCATGTTGTTGAATATGGCTTAAATAATTTGGCTGCTTGACATGTTTGGCAGAGTTTCATACAGAAGCCCTTCCTGACACAACCGCAAAGGGGGATTTGTGTCTCCAACTGGAATTAAACAGCTGACCTTTCATTTGCCAAGCAAACATGTAAATGACTACACTACGGAGGAAATGTTTAGCAACCTAGTGGCAACGGGGAAAGGATGTTTTACATGCTGATGCACCAATTCGAGCAGGTTTTTGGGAGCCTTAAGGAGTAGATGTTATTTTATTGTGAAAACTGTGAGTGTAGATGAGACCCTGATGGGAAGCTGAATTTGGCATTAATTAAGTTTGGCACAGCTTAAAAACTGACATGAAGGTGGGTTGCAAAGGAGGTTGCAGCAGAAGCAGCAATTGTGAGCAGAATAAGGTAATGTAAATAATGTAAATGCATAAGATTTGCCAGCAGGATACGTAGAGGAGTGATTAGCCTGCCTGAAAATCCACTGACTACGAAAGTCATACAAGTACCCCTGGCTAATAATGATACTGCACACCCATCCCCTGCACTCACTTTTTCTGTTTTAAAATAATGATTCCCTTTCATATTTTTGCTTGAAGTCTGTCCTCTCCCACACAAGTCCCCAACCACTCACCATCAAAGTCAATGTTGCCATCTTTGTTGAGGTCAATGTCACTGAGGATCTCCTCCAGCTCGCCTTTCTTCAGCTTCTCCCCGAGGAGGTTTTTCATGCCCTCCCTCAACTCATCAAGTGTGATCTTTCCATCGCCATCACAGTCAAACTGTAGCAGGTAGGGTTAAGAGCAAGAGGGTCGGAGCACAAACATGCAGTGAGCGAAGAAAGACGAATAATTAGACCATAGGTGAAGAGAACTGAAAGCCACGCAAAGAACAAAAAGAAAAAATTAAATTACAAATTTGTTAGATAATGATGAAATCAAGCACTGGATACAGAACAACAATACAAGGAATAATAAGCAGAAGAGAAACAATAAAAGTTGAAATTGAGTTTTGCATCGAGTATGTGGATGCAGATTGGCTGCGTGAGCTCCCTGGGAGTTTGAAAACAGCTTGAATGTGCAGATGGTTCAGCGCTGAGTCATGAAAAGTTAGTAGTTGAGAAAGGCTTTTGAAGAGACTCTAAGTTAGAATGAGCTGAAATGATTTCTCATTTGTTCAGCCTGAGTTTTGAAGCTCTCTATTCAGAAAAGGTGAGAGGAAAAGGTGTCCTATTCTCCACAAATTGATTCAAACACCAGAGCTGGAATTTCTGGTTTCTGACAGCAATGGTAATGAGTCAAAGGCGAAACAGAGGAGTCATTCATGACATACACCCAGGCCCACGAGTGGATAACAATATGTATTTTTGCAGTTTTCCCTGCATACACCGACAGTGAATTTGAATTCAAACATCAAAATCTGTCTGAAGTTTAACCACGGGAGTTTAACAAAATCATAACAATAACCGTTTAGAAATCAGCCCTCTGGAGTCAACAGACCCACCGGCCCATCCAAATCACCAGTGTAAGATGACTTCGCAGCCTCCCTGAGTCTCCTGTGTCCAAAGCGCAGACTTCAAACTTTAAACCAGTTTTTAACCCTAACAGTGCAGTTATGTGGACTTTACTGACAGTTTGATGCATAAAAGTCCCATAGCACAAAACAGATTGAAGCGATTGCCTT